CATTTTGTTTCAGAGCAGTCCCAACTCAGCCCTAAAGTCATTTGCATTATGCCGCTTACAGCATATCTAATGTGGTTACGACATTTAAAAAAATGTGTACAACCTTAACCAACGGTACAAATATTCAGTGACAGAGCAAAGAAGTGTTGATGGTTTTATCTGCATTGTGAACTTTTATCCCAGATATAAAAAATGTACTAAGACAGAGGAGCTGAAACTAAAGTGGCCCAATGCCAGAGGAGCTGAGGTGAGCATCACAGAGAGGGACAGGCACCGCTTCAGAGGGCTCATCTGTCTCAGATAGCTGGGTGTAATTAACAAGGCTTTGGTTTTTAATTAATCTGCCTCAATCAGAGTAGAAATTCTATTCTTGCATTTTGGACTAAATTAATTCAAGGACACGCACTCAGACAGCAAAGCCCACAGACTGTGTACTCATGCCTTTTTCTTTCCTTTCTTCCTGTTTTCATTTCTTCTTGGGACGCTCGTTCAATTTTCTTTTGTTCTTTCGCTCTTATGCCTTTCTTTCATTCAAAATAACTCAAATAGGATCTAAATCTGGCAGCATTTATCAGACCATTTATTTTCCTATGTTTCCAAAATGATTCTCGTCACAACTTTGCCTGCCAGGCGCTGCACCGACCCTGCAGTGCCCTCCAATGGTGGGTCCGTGCCCAGGGAGGACCAGGCAGCACCTGGTGATGATCCCGATGGCCAAACTTAACCAGCTGAGTCTCGAAAACAACCACCATCTGACGGTATAATAATCTCTCTGTCACACTGCCAGCTCCATGTGGCCGGGACATCACAGACATTATTACTCTGCTTTCCTGGAGTTTACCCTCTCCCTTATCGTCTTACTCTTCTTTTATCGGTTGATGCTATATTATGAGAATTTTGATCGATCTGCCTCTGGATATGTAGGTGTTTTCCCCATCTGTTTGTCTGTCTCTTTCATTAAAAAGACAGCATGGTCACAAGCTGATATGTATATGATTTTAAAAAGGTAGTGAGATGTCATAGAATACGGTTTTAAAGAATCAATCCAGCAATTGTACACATGGAGTTAAGTTAACTCATTACGAGGAGGTCTACTCTGTAAAAACAGTGTGGTTCATTTTCACAGTAGGTCGGCAAGGAGCTCAAAGTTTAAAAATAATATCCCCGTCCAAATTATCAGAGTTACTGTTTTGAAGATGTAGTATCCATTTATTTATTTTTCGACCTTCAAATAAAGAAAAACAAGGCACAGCATTAGGACTTTCATGACAACATCTCCGCTCACTAATACTGAGCTGCTGTCTGTCTGCAACACCTGTAATTACCATGCATACTATACCTTTTATCCCTGAGATTTGCATGAGGCTCCCACTGTAATGGATCTAGATTGCACATGACACGAATCAGAAAAATAATGGCATGCATGATTGTAAGCGCCAGCAAAATGTCCATGACTTGATTGCTTTATATGTGTTCAAAACAGAATAAGAGGCCTGTGAAAATTGACTGTGAGATGGCATCAGATAATGACAATGTTTGCTGATTTGATGCATTGAAAACATTTTGGAAAGCCACTCATGCCACAGTCCACAGACTACACAGTTACTCTGAAGGTCCAGCCCTTCAAAAATGTGTTTTGCTCAAATCTGAACACAACAGGGCACGAGAAACTTTCTGAATAGACACTTTCTTTGGATGCTTTCTGTCAGGATTCTTATGTTATGTCACGTTTGTAGTTTTGTATGTTGGGTTTATTTTTACTGTTCTCCCTGTCTTGTTTTCTTCCTGGTTTATTGTCTGGTCCTTTTCGCTGTGTTTTTCCTCCCGTCGTTAGTTTCCCTGGTGTGTCTAGTTTTCTGATTGTGTTCACCTGTGGCCCTTGTGTTTCTCCTCCCCTGCCCGGCTGTTTCTCGTCTTGTGATTACCCCTCCCTGTATTTAGTCTTGTCTTTTCCTGTGTTCAGTGTTGGTTCGTCTTTTGTTTGTGAATGAGTTCACCGGTGAGAGTTCTGTTTTGTCAAAGTTATTTTTATTTTATCCTTGAAATAAAGGCTTTTTTCAGCGTTATCTGCATTTGGGTCCTGCTTGCTTCACTCACCGTAACACTTTCCTCTTTATAGACTACTAGTCTAGTAGTCTAGTCGGTTAATGAATTATGTACTGTACGTGCAAGTCAACGGAACTCAACGCATTATTGCATCGGTCGACTCTTCCTGTCTACGACCAAACCCTCGGGGGTGGGATCCTCCTCTGCTGTGATTGGTGTGCCCCATCTTTCTTTGCTGTGATTGGTTGCTGTCCTTGGGGAGGCATGCCTATGACAGTTGAAGTAATTGACTGTAAAGCTCTTAAGGATTCCCTGCCTGCTGCTGATGTAGCACAGGTCTGATCAGCCGGTACTGTACGCACGCTGCTGTTTAACCACGCACTTTCTTATGCACACACATTTAGCTTGGTGATAAACACAAACAATGCAAGGTGTGAATCATTTCCCTGCTTATGTTAAAGCCTTCCTTATTGTATCTTCTTTATATAAAATGTGTTGTTGGAGAAAGTACAGGGATGGAATTAGGATGGTGTTGCTGTTTCTCCTTGGGCACCAGTAGCCAACCATAAGGTGTTGTGTTTGTCAGAGCCAAGCTTTAGCTAGGTGGAGAGCTGCCCCTGGGAGTGTCTGACTCACCCATGTTTCCGTGGGTACGTGCACTTGTGTATTTGGGTGTATTCCCTTGCAGAGGCTGTGAGGTGTTGGCAGGACTGTCATATAAAGCCAATGGCGTTGAACTCATTGTGTCAGCTCCTGCAGGCTGCCATTGATGCTCCTATCACATAACTCTCTCCTCCTCACCCTCCAGTGTGGCTCACTGGCCGCGTTCTTGTCACTACTTGCCCCTGACACGTGCGTGCGGGCATGTGGGAGTACGGTTGCAATTGCGCCTCTGCAGCTGGGCCTGAGTGTGCATGTTTGTATGTGTGCCTACGTTTGTGTTTTTATGCGAGTGTGTGTGCTTCCTTCCTGCTCTCACAGCGCATCATGGAGCTCCTGCAGAGCACTGCTGCATTTCTGCATCATTAGGTCTCTCCCTATAAGGTCGAGCGAGAGGCCGGACCCAGCAGGCAATGGATTGGGACCAGAGAATAGAAAGAATGGAGAGAGGAGAGGAATGGTTGAGGAAGTGAAACAAGACATTGTGTTAAGGCACACATGATGAAAAGCATGAAGAGAACGAATGAAACATGTGGCTTACTGAAAGGAAAAATAAGAGAGATTTAGGGGTGACTAAATGGAGTCAGGGAATGAGCATAAAGGGGGAAATAATGAGAAAACATGGAGGAATAATTAGAGAGACAAACAGAGAAGACAGTGAGAAAATCTGAAGAGAGGGGGACTATTGCCGAGCCTAGGTTCGTAAACAGCTGTACAGGAAAACATTTTGTGTATTTTGAATTCTGAGCATTTAAAATGTTGCTTCTCCTCAGACTGCCAGTGAGGTGGAATAATTTGATTATGCTAAATGTCCTTCCCCCTGCTGAGAGACCAAGCAAATGGCCACATAAGGGTTGACATAAGGTTGGTGACTTCCCTTGTGTCAAGATAATAATAGGTAATTCCAATAAATACATGTACGTTAATTGGACAGTTTTCCGTATGGTTAACATACCTGAGTCCTGGGGTCAGCTGACTAAGGAGGGGAGGGGATCTGCTCTGCTGTCAGCTCCTATTAGCTTGAATCGACT